TTTAACTGCTTGTACAGAGTTCTCTATAACAGCTACATTACGCTTTTGTTTTGGTTATTAATTTTTTCATAAAATAAAAAGGAAAAGATATAATGGAAATATTTTTACATTTTAAAATCCAAAATATTCAATGCCACATTTTCCTGAAAATGGTTAGGGTTCAATAACAATAAAAATTAAAAAAAAAAAAAGACACAATCTTTGGTGAGTTATAAGTAACTGTATATCCTAATCATTTTAGGGTAAGATAAGATCAAAAATTCTGTTATTAGTTTTTAAATTATGATACAAAAATGTAGAGCATACAATAGAACTGTTTTAAGATTAATTTATAAAAAGGGAAGACAAAATTTTAGTTAATCATATCTTTTCATTTTTTTTAGCTTTTTGTTAAATTTTATTTTAGCAAAGTGTCTACAGGGTGTTCAAGGTCTCACTACTAGATTGGACTTATAGGGATCCGCCTATTTACAGCCTTCCAAGAGCTGGGATTACAGATGCTCCACCACACCCAGTCTCATTTGCTATCACAGCATGCCCTGGGTGTAGGGCTGGCATGGCAGGCCCAGTAATCAAATCCCCAGCCCCTGTGTCTGCTTGCAAGTGCTTTAATCTGATGAGCTATTTGGCCAGCCCCATAGCTTTTCTTTTATTCATTTTGGGGATTTGGATACGAAACCTACGCTAACACAATATCAACAGTAAAACTAAGGGCCAGGGAGAAGGCTGTGTTATAAGCACTTCCCTGGCAAGTGTAAGAGCCTGAGTTCAATCCCTAGTGCTGAAAAAAAAAAAAAAAAAAAAAAAAAAACAGTAAAACTAAGCAACACATGAGGACATTTCATTGAGCCTATGGAAACAGCCAGTGCAAAACTGTGACATTTGATTGCAGGAAGACAAATAAAGTGACCTGCTGCTTCAGTCTGCCTTTCAACATTAATGTTCTTCCCAAACAGTGGCCTGAGGATGAGTCAGCAAAATATTTCCTGAGCTGAGGCATATAGAAATTAAAGTTCAGTTTTTAGAAGCAGCTTAACTGTGCAGAAGAATATTATTGTAAAATAAAAAGCTGTCCTAAGTTTGGCATTGATATATATTCATTCAAATTTCTTTGCCTTTAGAAAGTCTTGGTCTGGTCAAAGGAAAAATGAGAAGTGTAAGACATTCAAAAGTATAAGCAATGTGCAGCTGAAAGAAGAATAGAGGTGACACTTCAAAAGGATGAGGCTTTGTCTACTCAGGTGAAAATATATCAAGGAGTGCTTTGGCATTTAGATATGTTTCTGAAATTTTTACATTTTCATAGTAAAAGACATGCCCTAAACTGAGCAAGTGTCCCAGTACTAAGGGAAAAGCTCACTAGACACAATACATTCCATTAAGCTCAAACAAGAAAGTATCTTCTCCCACTTTGATGGGCACATGAATAATATTCTATTCACTTCAGTGCATGTCATACCTTCTTGATAGATCTCATCATGAAGATATTTTAATTGAATTGCATAAGGAAAAGAACAAATAGTAAACATGTGGCCACCACCCCATGGCATGTGTTTCTGCAGAGGGTATGTGACTTGTCTTCTTTTTCAAAATTTAGTAATCAGAATTGTTCAAAACAATATTTGGCCCAGTTTAAGCTATGGGACAGCTGTTTCATTCATTTTAATATGACATTATACTGCCATTCTTTAAAAATTCAGATGAATTAAGTATATTTTATTTCTACTTTTTATTGTGACATAACAATAACTTATTGCCATTTGTTCATTAAAACAGCTATGCATTATTCTGAATTATAGATATGTTCTTAAGTCAAAATAAGAAATGTAATATGGACAGGAGAATTTGGCAATTATTATGGTCAATGTCTCTTGGAGTAAGAAACAGTAAAAACCTGGAGATATAGTAAGGGATTTCACATCTATGGCTGGATATCAAAAATTTAAGTTGTTAACATTCTACTGCTAGCCACAGACTAAAATTTAGATTCACTGCTATTCATTGAACTGTCCATGAAAACATCACATATGAAACCTCCCAGTACAGAAATAATTATAAAAACACTGAAGCAAGACATTCATGAAATTTATTTAAACTGAGAATAAAATTATCAAGTGAACTACTTTGATAAATGTAGCATTTTGAAATAACACAGTTTGTCCACATTGCATTTTTTATGTATCTTAGAATAGACTAATTCAAATTAATATTATTTATTTTAAGAGAGAAATCTTTTTTATATAGATTTTGGTCAGGGTCTCACTGTGAAGCTCCGACATATAGTAATCCACCTGCCTCAACTTCCCCAGTGCTTGGATTAGAGGTGTGCACCACCACTCTCGTACGTGAGTAGCCGGCTCAGTGTGCCCAGGGGTGGGGCTGGTGTGGCATGTGGTCCCAGGGATCATATCACAGCACCTGCACTTGCCTAAGCAGGCACTTAGTCCACTGAGCTATTTCACCAGCCCTGAGAAGAACTAGTTTAAGATGCAAAGTTCTTAAAATTATGAAAACTGATAAGGAAAAATGATTCAGTTTTATTTTATAATTTCTATTCCTTTAAAAACACAATCTGTCTAAACAGTATATTATATATAAGCACGTACTACCATAGAGTACTTACCATTTCCATATCTCCAGTGTGGCTCTTACTTTCTAAGATCTTACATCTTCTTCCTTTATTTTACAGGAAGTGCTAAACATCATGATTTCTTTTTCATAGTGGAATCATAATCATAGTTCTGGTGACTTGAAATTCTGAAGTCCCTGAATTTACCCATCTGGACTTGCTTTCTTCATAATGCCAAATCCAATTTTGTTAGACATCAGGTGTGCACTTGATACTTATGTATGAGCATTTATAAATATTCTAGCATTCATTAGTAAACATTGAATGTGGTAGTATGCCAGCAAGTATTTATGCACATGGAAGCTTATATTTCATATATAATCTTCATATTTTTTGTTTTTTGCTGGTCATTTAAAAATGTGAACAATATTTTTAGATCAGGGGTTGTGCGAAAGCAGGCCACAAGATGGCTTTGGCAGCAGAGGGCCGATGGTTTGCCAATCCCTGGTACAGGCATCTCCAAACTTAGATTTAGAGCAGGAAGGCTTCCCAATTTAAGAAAGACTAAACTACAGGTCTTAGGTTAAGAGGAAATTATAGTTTCAAGCACAGAATGTAGATAAATTTCCTGCTGCCTAAAGAAACACTTAAGTCAAGTGAAAGAGGTAGGAAATGGGAAATGATTCCTCAGGAGCAAGAGATCAACCGATTACAATTCCCAGCAACATGGAATGTGACATTTTTGAGAGACCAAATTGCATTTAATGAGATTGGCTTGAAGACTATGAAATGTGAAACAGGAAGCTATGTGCTACTGGTGATTCATTTTTAACACCTTGAGTTGTCAACTCCTTTGCAAAATGGAGCAATGACACTCGTATGCCAGCGCTATGGAGGTAGCAGATTAAAATAATTGACAAGGGATTTCTGTATAGGTATAAAACTTGCTTTTTAATCATTAATATGCTAGCTTTTTCTCAGCATCATATCTACTTAAATATTTTATTTAGATTTCATAACATTGTTCATCGTGGTACACAGTATTTTCAAATCAGTGTGGTTAAACTGAAGGTTCTCTACATATGTGGTCTCTTCAGTGTGGTCAGTTCGAATTCACTATTAAGCTGCTTCACAGTTTTTGCAAATATTTGAAAGTTACAGAATTGCTCTATAAGCAGTATTTGGCTAAATGAATAGCTTTTCTATATTTTATTTCCTGTATTTTCAAGAAAATGTTCTGCTTGGAGTCTATTTGGCTTGAAGTCTAAAAGAACAGGTGGAGAATAAAGAATGTGCTTCTATTGCATTAATTTTTAAAAATTAATTTATAATATTATTTCACTTTCCAGTATATTGGCTCAACAAATATGTATAGAGGGTGCAGTAACATGCAGCAATTATCTCTGCAAGTTCAAAAGATAGAAGCTCATTTTTCTGTTGTCTGTAAGTCCAAAGTATAATTAACCACCAAAGCTGGAAAAGTGCCACCTTTCACTGCCCTTCAAATAACCCCAAATGAATTATTTATTCCTCCATAAAATAGATGGTCAGTTGGACACATGCTGCCTCCTCCTCCTTCCTATTGTGTGTATTAACTGCTGAGCACAGAGTCCCTTGAGTTATCAGTGATGCTTATGATGCTATTTTCTTTTTATGTTAATTTTGACCTCTACATTGGTCACACTCTTCAGGATGGTCTCATTAAGGTCAATTTGTCTTACAGTGGGAGACTTTAACGGAACATTTGTCCACCCAGAGCAAGAAGATATGTAAGAAGTTTCGCTTTGTAAGAGATTTATTTTACCAGCTTTGAGGCACTGTTGATCATGGAGTTAGGGGACAGTGCTCCTTGCATTGTGAAGAATGTGCTTACTACCCTTGGAAATAAGGACAGAGCCTCGAGCATCAGTGCATCACGTGCTGAACTGATTCTTGTCAGCACCACTTTCACCGAAGAGCAGACAACCTACAACCACCAGCTGGCAGTTACTATCAAAACCTCCTCACGCTAATACAGTGCAGTCGCATGTTCCTTTGAACAGCAGATCCAGAGTGTAAGGAAGACATGTCAAATATACTCACCTTTTCTTTTACCTCTTTTTAGTAAAAATGTACCAATTAACGGAAAAAATGGATTGAAGGAAGCTTGAAGTTAGCTATGTTGGATAAACAGTATTTCTGCTACTAAATCTTAGGAGGTTTGTGGGAACCAAAGATGCATTCCATTTTTCACCTGGTGGGAAGAATAATTGAGCTAGCAGGCAGTTCCACACTTCTAGCAGACTGCAGTTCCAACTCCGCTTTGAAAGTATTCGTAGTTAATAGCTTCTGTCATACAGGACTCAAGGTATTTATACATGTCTGGATAGTTCAGATAAAAATAAAATGTCCCCCCACAGCATCATGTGTTCATAAGTGTTGCTTTTTTTCACATTAGATGGGTAATGTGCCCACGTAGGAACAAGTTTTGAGTGAGGCACATCTAGTATGTAAGGCATGAACACTCAGTCGTCATGCTCATGAACCGAAGTATCAGGTGTTGCTTTTTGAAAGTGAATGGGTTATGTGTATGGTGTATTCCTTGGTGGATTATTCCGCTGATAAATACAGATAGTTACCCTCTAAGGAGAGAGGCCACGGTGGCAATATGCTCATCACTGGAAGTATGACCAGGAAGGGCGTAGTGCCTGTCCAGGCTCCACCTTCTCGCTGCTTCCTGGCTCCCAGTCTGAGCAGCTTTCTTCCGAGGTAGGTGTCTGTACAACACTGCGTGTGCACCTGAGCTTGCCAGGCATGGGTTCAACCTCCAGACTGCAAGCAAGATGACCTTTTCCTCCTTTGGGTTTCAGAAGTCGGGTGTTGCGTCTCAACAAAGAGAAAAGTGACCGAGATGTCACTCACCTGTGAACATCTTTTAATCCTTTAAACATATATTATTCATAAATAAAGTAGGCTACTCACATGAGCATAAAATGAACACTCCAACACCATCACCTGGATCCTGTTTTTTCAGTTGTAACTATTATTTGATCAGTGTTTACTATTGTGACTTTTTACCCACAGAGGATTCCTATATCATACCATTTTTTTTTCTTCCCTTCTAGCTGTTCTAAACTGATTTCAGATAGTTGAGCATTTTCAAAATTGGTTTGAAATTTTTCCTACATTGCTTCTCTTTCTGGAATCATTTCTTCCACCATCTTTTATTTTTTTTTTTTTTTGCCAGGTGTAGACACATTGTTCAAAAAATAGTTCTGTAGCATTTTTAAATTCAATATCCATTTCTAGCAATTAGGTCAACTCATAACTTGCATTATGAGTTCACACAATGGATGGGCTTCCAAGGACATAAGAATGAAAGATATAATTCTTCCCACAGTCACTTAATATTTAATTAGGATAAGCCTAATTACATAAACAATTGCATTTTTGTATTTTATGTGTTATGATTTGAATACATCTAGTTAACATGACAATATTGAGGAATGATACATAATGCCCTAATAATTTAGGGGAGGCATGGAGGAGGTAATACTCAGCTGATGTGTGAAGAAAGATTAGTCAGGCATTAAAAAAGAGAAGGCAGTGGTGATGTATGGAAGCCCAGAGGGGACAGTATAAAAAAGAACATCTGGCCAGACATCAGACTGAGGGGAATAGGGACAGGATCTCCTGATTTAGTGCTTCATGGTTGGGAGATTTCACTCAGCATTGAGAAAAGCTGTTGAAGACTTCAGCAGAACAGCACTTGTGACTCAAGTTACACATATCAATCAATCTGAATATTGCACAAAATAGATCAGAGAGGTTCCTACAAGATAAGAATGTTGAATGCTTTATAAGTTGAAGATGCAAAAATAGTGACAGCTTTTGATGTTAAAACACAATAATAATAAGCTATGTGGGAAAACAGAAATCAGAAAACACTTGAGGTTCATGGGGGGAGCATACACTTAGACATTTGAAGAGGAAAAAGCTGTGCAATGAAGAGGACCAGTTAAAAACTTATACATTAAGTTTTACTAAAATTTAATATATTTCATTAGTCATGGAAAGTTTGTCTTTATTATTTATTTTTCATTTTTGGCAGAACCAGGAATTGAACTCAGGCCTTTGCACTTGCCAAGAAAATGCTTATTCTGCTGAGCCACCTCCCCAGCCCCAAAATTTGTCTTTAAAAAGAAAGGTGAAAAACAATACTGGGGGCATTTGGTTAAGGTTTAGATTTTTTACTTAATGCCAAATACATTTTTCTTCTTGAGCCATTTATTGATCAGAAATTTAAAAATCATAATAAATTATATTATATATTTAATGTTCTTTTTAGTTTCAAAGTGTGGAGACATTTTTATTGTTAAATATTTAGAAAAAACAAAGTTTAAAAGGAATGATGAATTGATACTTGGATATCTATATCATACCTTTATCTGTAATTTACTAACATGTATTTAGTATATATTGCATATATTTAACATACATTATGCATATTTTAAAATATATACACATATATTCTAAAATAAATGACAACCATTAAGGGGAAGTAAATTTATATCTTAGCAATTGTAATTTGGGTGAAGGGGCTAGTGTTGAACCTCATGAGAAATATATCTCTTCCATTATTGCTAAAAAAGACTGTGTTTCAATATAGTTACTACTTAAAAATTGGTTTGACTAAATGAGTTACTCAATGTGATGTTTCATCACAGTTTTTCACATTAAGGATTGATATTTCAAGTGTGCCACAATTACCTCACACTAAACTGAGCAGAACAATCAAATAGCAATAGGAAGAGTGATGCTACTAATAATGATAATAGAAGGAGGGCAAAAAAAGAGATGGAACCTCAATTTTAGCAAGACAGGATAATTTTATCCGAAGTTATCGTAGTATCATAAAAACACATCATGAAGAAGAGTATTACGATACGCAGTATGTCCTCTGAATGCATTAGAGTGGGAGGAATCGTAGTTTGAAGTAGTCTAAAAACACTGGTGGGAGACAATATAATACAAAATAGTTAAGAAATAATTCTTAAATTATTTCTTTAGCTTTTTGTTCCCTAGTTTTATCCAGTTTGCCTCTTATTTTATGAAGCAAAGAAACAGGGCACACACACTCTTGAGTCCTTATATTCCTTTATTATTTTGACGACCATCCATTCCTAGACAGTGGAGCCTGCAATACTCTTGGATTCCCACAGTTTAGGACAGTTACATGTTATGGTCATGGCCAGATCTTTTAATTTAATTTTTAATATAGCTGTGGCTGAGGGTCTCACCTTTGCTCTGGGCTCAAGTATTTCTCCTGTTGAACCAGCAGAAGCAGAGGTGCTGTGAGGGGAATGAAATTGAAGAATGGCCCTCTACTGCGTGTTTTTGTAACTCATTCTCCCTCTTCACACTCTTGTAATCTCAGTGGTGAGGGAACAGAGGCAAAGAACAAGGAGCATAGTCTAGAAGGAAGTGCTTCTTAACAGCCATTTCCCCTGGATCCCTAGATATGGGTGTGATTGAATATTCAGAAAAGCCTTAGGGAATAATAGAATCCATACATAAAATATCAGAAAGGAACAAACTTAAGTTTGATCTCTAGAAAGATAACTAAAAATATAATAACAAAGATTCTGTATTGAGAGATAATTTGTAATTCTATTTCTGGTCATTGAGGTGAGTTCTAATTTACAGAAGTCAGCTTTAATGATTTACAAGCACCAAAGAATGAACAGAAAGTATACCAAAGAAATTTTTAGTATTTATGAAATTTAAATAAAGATTGCAAAAATATAGAAAACATAAAGATAAAATCAAATCTCAAGTAACTGCACCCTACAGTTTAAATTCTCATGTAGAATTGTCTGGAGACATAGGTGTCTTTCTCTTGCACTCAATAATTAAATTAGCTTTAGAATTCTTCGTTTAGTCATACATTTATATGTTGAGATGGCTCTTTTAAAAATCCCCTAGATAGATTATTTCTCTTGTACACATTTATAATCCAGGTACTAATTCAAAGAGGTAGCTGATAACTAATGTATATTTTGTCGTTTTTCTCTCCCCAAAGTGGGCCATGATTGGATTCCACTAATTTTTAATACAAGCAAACATAATCCTTGCTATTTAGTAGAGAATGAAATGAAATTTTCAGATGAATGAGCAAATACATTGCGGACATAATCTCTTCATAGTCCTCTTTTCTTTTCTTTTCTTTTCTTTTCTTTTCTTTTCTTTTCTTTTCTTTTCTTTTCTTTTCTTTTCTTTTCTTGTCTTTTCTTTTCTTTTTTTTTTCCAGTACAGAGATTGGACTCAGGAGCCTGTGCTTGCCAGGCAAGCACTTATTCTACTGAGTTATAATATAGTAGATCTCCTGGGCCCTCACCACAGTCTTTACAAAGTAACTTCAACTCTTCAGGGAACTCACAATATTAGCTTCCACAAACAATATTCCTCCTAGTATATGGGAAACAAAGTATATCATATTCTTTACACATTTATAATCTATAATTACTCATTGAAATAATAATTTATTTCTACTTTGGGAAAAGGCAAAATGAGAAAATTGCATCTCCCTAGCTTTCTTGAGAAAATAAAATTATTGAATTTACTCTCCAATCTATACTAAGAAAATATTTTAAAATGTAACTTTGTATTTTTCAAATTGTATTGTATTTTCTATATATAAAAATAGAAAAACACTACATTTACTGCCATACACTTATCTGTAATTGAAGTGTGAATGCAAATATTTAAATATTAAAACTATAAAAAGTTCCTGAAAATTAATCTATTAATTTCCTTTAAATTAATTCATTCTAATATTATAGTGACATTTTAAAAAACATAAAACATGAAAAACAAAATATTTATTCTCTTTCTAAAATAAGCACTGACCTTCATCGGGAGAAGACACTCTCTCAGGCTTTCACAGAGAGCACATTGGCCAAGCAATGGCCGTGACTCATCCACATGGCTGCACTGACAAAGGTTCTACAATCTGAGGTACAGGATCTCAGGATAAATCCTGAGGACATTTCACTGACCTTCTCAGACCAAAAAGCTACAACTCTTCTTGCACAGGTCCTGCTTTACCTTGGTCTTAACCATCCAGTAGAAAAGTATGAAGACGAAATATAGGAAATAAAGCCATGCTGTTATGTTGAGCTGTGGGGGACTCAGGTCAATAATTTCTGACATTGCCAGTTAAACAGAAGACCCAATGCTATTATGTGCTATTGGACTCTTTTAGAATATTTTGCTGAGTTTACACACCTATAATCTTCAATAACGGAACTTAGAAAAAATGGGGTATACCGATGAATGTCCATTTTGTATTTGTGTATTCCAAGTGGTTAGGATAGATATATAGTTGCATTCTCTTAATGAATAGAATGATTTGTTCTAATGGTGTCTATAAATAGGATCACAAGTCCACTTCTTGTACAGCAATTAACCACTAAGAAGAATATATGCAGTGTATTATTTGTTGAAACTGTACTTCTGATTTGATTTGAAACTGTCTCATTGCTGTTTATCAATAAAACTTTGAAAAAAAAAAGAGTTCTACCTATTCTATCTTCCAGCAAATTTCGTGTTTAACTTAGTGCATAGTGAGACATAGGTCTAGTTGTAGTCTTTGGAATGTGGAACGCCAGTTTTTCCAGCCCTATTTAGAGGATATCAGTATTTCACTGCATATGTTTGGCTTGTTTGTCAAAGAAAAGATTAAATGTGTTTGGCATTGTCAAAAAAAA